ATGCATGTGGAAGAGAAGCAGGTTCTTACTCTTTCTGCTGTCAGTGTGAGGATTTCAATTAACAAGCAATATTGAGTCAATTTAGCCATACTATCTAGGTTCTGCCGCATCGATATGACTGAGTACATTGCCACACTGGAATCAAAGGAAAGTTTTTCAGCGCAACATGTTTGCTGTGTACCCTGGTTTGGCAGCACCACGATGTTAACGTTGCAGATAGCAGAGTTTCTTTTGTGTCGCACAAAAGGGATGGTTGCAGAATGGTTGTACATAATTCTGTTAATATACCAAGCGTTGATATGTGGCAGATGTGTGTTACGCTAATTCTGTTATATACCAAACAAACACCACGCACTGACGTGTCATACCCAGCTTCTGCATCTACGTCATGTAGTCGGCTTTGTTTCACCCGCAGCGCTGTCATGCGTCCTGGAATGCTCTCAGAACGAAGCTGGCGTGCTACTTCCCTCGCTGTCAGTAGAAAACATTACAGGACAAATAATTATAAATTATCAGAACTCATCCTAACGCAATGCTCAGTAGGAAATAATTATAGAATGGAATGATTAGACTACTTAATAATTTTACTAATAATAATAATAAAATTTTAATAAAGTTAATGAAGTTTTACACTTCTCTTACAGCAATGCTGGATAATATATCAGGGGTCAAAAAAACATACATGTATCCTAGTACCATGAACATATTATAGACTGGTATAACAGTGAAATTATATCTACACTATATCACAAGTATAGTCAATAATTGTATCATAGTAAGTAACAATAAGTAGAACGCTGTAACACATTGGCCTAGTACGTGCACTAGTTAAGTACGTAGACATAAAGGATTGAGTACGGCGGTAACAAATAATATAAATGCAGGTGAGTAAGTAAGCAGGATAAATAAATATAAGGTATAAATAATCAGACATAAATCCCCTCAGGAAAACCCCAAACAACCAGGGTGAGTACGTGGTAACAGACCACCGTCGTGTGATTTTCTACTATCTGTCATGTCTTCACCGCCTCCGTGATTGCCTCCTGGTTGCTAGACTCCTGCGTGACCTTGAGAAATACTGCAAACGGGAAACCAGCGCATGTTTCTGCACGCAAAATGTCGCAACGGTAACGTATTAGCGAAATGTCGCGCTAGCGCATTAGCATTCCAACACAAATCGAAAAGAAAGAGTTAAATGTTAAGACTACTTAAGACTACATATTAAGACTAATTCGTCTCTTAAAAAGGCGGCGGCCGGGCGGGCGGCGCCCGGCCGCGCGAGAGGGGGTTTCCCTCACTTGCGCTCCATCTGCCCTCAGTGGTTTTGTGTCAGACACGCGTAGCTGCTCAGCCCAAGGTCGCGCAACGCTGTGGTCAGACGGTCGACGAACAGACGCTCCGAGTCGAACCGCTGCGAGCGTCATGCTAGGACAAACAGAAGGAGACCTCAGTGCGATGTCCGTCGACGATCTGCGATGACGAGACGCGTGAAGCAAGATGAAAGACGACAGCGCCTCTGTGAGTAAAGCCCTGAACGCGACGCCGTTAACATGACTGTTGGGACTGCCGTACGAGCAAACTGATGAAATCCAATGTGACATACATTCAAGTAATTAATCAAGTAACATATTATTATTATTATTATTATTATTATGTATAGCAAAGCATTACGTTATATATATCTCACAATTATGGAGGTATGCGATTTCTACAGCTACACTACTCGTATCTATGTATGTTTCATGTAGTATTACTGTAATATTTAGTGAAATTAAACTGCATAATTATACAGGTTTGATAGCCTGGAACCTAGCAGCTGACAGATCACACTATTTCAGGGACCACCGAAATCTTCTGCCATATAATCTGTGAATACCAACTTTCTTTTTTGTATACTTCTACTTGTAACAGCTGCCCAACTAGTCGGGTACTCTATGATTAGCAGATAGAGCATCGTATATTGCAGTCCAACAGCTTTTACCGTGGTGAATAACGTAGGAAGCTGCAGGAGGCTGTGGATTTAGTCTCATTTTCCTCTTCAGCTGTATCATCAGTGCCTGACTAGATAAATACAGGAACGTAGCTCAACACCACTACACACACACCCTCTACCGGAATACTAAGACTTAGCGTAGAATTTTCTTGCTTGCTCAATTCATTCCATTGAGTAGACTGTTTTAAACGACTAGGTTGGATATTCAGTCAACCACTGCTGCTTAAAACGCGAGGGGATATACGTGGCAGTGAAGTTGGAATGGTCGGGATGGATGCGGGCAGTTATCTAACAAAATGATGCAACAGTGCGATGTGATTCCTTCGTTTGTATGCTATATCTTAATTATATGTGATATCACTGCACGTATTGGTGTAGATTATCATGTAATGTACCATTTATACCTATCATTACATGTATCATGCTCATGTACCAGGCCATCATGCCCATTACCAGTGTCATGTTCATGTACCAGGCATCATGCTGCCATTACATGTCATGCTTACCATGTACCATGTATTTTGTACCATGTGTCAGTACCGTGTGTATCAGTGGTAGCCATGTGTTCATGTTACCGGATGCCGTGTATCATTGATACATGTGTCATGTATCACTGGACCATGTACCATGTGTCAGTACCGATGTATATCATGTACCATAGTACTTGTATCATGTTACCGTGTGTATCATGGACCATGGTCTGATTCATGTACCCATGTACAGTGGGCTTATGTACCGTGTATTCATGTACCATGTACGACTTACAGTACGTGTGTATCATTACATGTGTCATGTCTCATGTACATGTACCATTGTGTCATGTACCGTGTATTTCATGTACCATGTGTCATGTACATGTATTTCGTGCCGTTTACGCCATTTCATGTCTTCAATCGGTTACCAGTTGTATATTGTCGCGTGATATCATTATCATTAGCCATGTACCATGTTACGGATAATCATGACAGTGTCACTGTACCATAGTCATGCCCCATTTACCATTTCATGTATCATGTACCGTGTATATCATGTATCACTGCTCCAGGTACCTGCTACCGTGTATTCATGTACATGTTCAGTTACATGTATCATGCCATGACCTGTCATGTAATCATGTACATGTGTCATTACCATGGACGAGTATCATGATTCATGTACATGTAATCAGTACATGTTCATGCTACCGTGTAGTTCATGTACCATGGGTAACTCCTACACCTTGTACCGTGTTATTCATGTTACCATGGTCTATGTATCATGTCCATGTGACATGTGTCCTGGTACGGTTATATCATGTATCCATGTATACCGTGTTCATGTTACCGTGTATCATGTACCACTGTCATGTACCATGTAGCGTGTATCATGATACGTTATATCATGTACCATGTACCGCTGTATCAGTACCGTGTATCAGGTACCTGGTTTCATGTTACATGCTACCGTGTAAATCATGTACCGTGTATCATGTACCGTGTACCGTGTATCATGTACCATGTGTCATGCCTCATTGCTGTGTGTAATGTGCCATGCACCGTGTTATCTACGTACCATCGTACTCTCTGTGAGCGACCTGCCCATCTCTGAACCGCCGCCGCTGCCGTCCGTGCTGTGGTGTTTCTCGGCCTTGGCGAGCGTGAGGTAGTATCCGTTGCCGTAGACGTTCTTCAGGAAGAGGCTGGAGCCGCAGCAGCAGAGCTTGCCCTGCGATATGATGGCGATGCGATCTCCAAGCAGGTCCGCCTCGTCCATGTGATGTGTGGACAGGATGACCGTGCGACCTATACACACACGCGAGAAACACAGACGATAGGGATGGGGTTCTTAAACTGCAGTCCAAAAAGGTCCGTGGGTGGGCTTCAGGGGTCCGTGAACCCCACTGTATGCAAAATTGGGTGTTTATGTGCTTATGTGCATTTTTCTGGCGAGGGGTCCGTAGCTTTCACCAGATTCTCAAAGGGGTCCATAACTCAAAAAAAGTGAAGAATCACTGCGATAGAGGGTTCGTTACAAAGAACATTGGACAGGATCACCATGTGACCTACACACACTCGAGAAACACAGACGATGGAGGGTGTGTTACAAAGATCATTGGACAGGATCACTGTGCGATCTATGTACGCGCAAAACGAAAACAATGAAGGGTTCGTTACAAAGAACATTAAATAATAGTGGATCATGTCTCATGATAATATACTGCTGAAGCAAAGAATTTAAAAAGATCTAAACCTAAGAACTAAACAGAACTAAACTAATCTCTCGTTGGGGGGGGGGAGACGCGGCGCCGCGCTCCTACCTTTCTTGTACTTGACGAGTAAATAAACCTAAACACAGGGAGACTCTGATATTATGTCACAGCTATATATATATATGTATATATATGGAGAGAGAGAGAGAGACGATATATTATGATGATATACATGTGGCTGAAGAAGAACTCTATACATATATATATATGTGGCCACGCACATCGGTGGGGGCGGGGGGCAGCAGGAGGGGTGTGGGGCACATGCTCCTACCTTTCTTGTATTTGACGAGTAGGTCCCATATGCTGCGGCGAGCGAACGGGTCGACCCCAGCTGTCGGCTCGTCCAGTATCACTGTCTTGGATCCGCCGACAAACGCGATCGCGATGGAGAGCTTTCGCTGCATGCCACCTACGTCGCACGACAAGAGAACATCACTCGTACGCGCACGCGCAACTTCATGCCATGACACGCATACATCACACGACAAGTGAACATCTTTACACACATCTTTGCTACATGCAAATTCACGCCATGGCAAAAAGTCACCCCCCCCCCATCTCGAACACCTCACTCGCTTCTCAAATCCCCCACATCTCAACCCATTCCCCTCAACACCAACAAAATCCTCTTCTATTAATACATAGCCTGCATATTACAAACACGAAAACACTAAGGTGATAGCTTAACCACTGTTAACCAGGTACCGTACTGCTGTTAAAACAATACAAGGCCACCGTAATGTGCTGCTGTTAAAATAATACAAGGCCACCGTAACGTGCTGCTGTTGAAATAATACAAGGCCACCGCAACGTGAACCAGTGGCCTTTCAATGCGTTTCTATGGTAACGTGGATCATCACCTGACAGATGGTTGGATGTCTCATGGCGCTTGTGGGGCAGGCCTATGTCGGTAATGATCTTACCCATCTCCACCTCAATCCTCTCCTTACTACATCCCTTCAACTGTCCATAGAACCAGATGTGCTCTTCTACAGTGAGCCTACAAACGTAAAGATCCATTACTGTTGGTGACAGTCTAGAATAGTCTAGAATAATCTAGAATAGTACTTGCATTTACACATGCGACAGCCTACAATAATTTTTACATTCTCGCGTGTGAAAGTTTCGATTTATTTTACAGGTTTCTCTTGCTAAAGGTCCAAAATAATTATATAGTCTTCTCTTGCTAAAACTATAAAATAGCTATAAAATTATAACTATATATAGGTCTCTCTGGCTGAAAGTCTAGAATAATTCTATAGGTTTCTCTTGCTAGAGATCTAGAAGTCTCTACCACGTTTTAAGTACTGAAGTATATTCACATTGAGGAATTACCACGATCACACACATTCATAAACATCCACACATCACAGTTAATTCCAGTTTTCTGGGCTTTTTCCTGTTCCCTATAGTCTTGTCACCGATCGACTTACTGGTCAAATAGGACATTGTGTTGAGGACACATGCCCAAACTCTTCCGTATGTCATCCATGCTGGTCATGATGTCGTGTCCGTGGATGAATGCCGTGCCAGACGTAGGAACGTACAGGCCAGTCAGTATAGACCTGAGAACAATGACACATCACACGTATAGCATATCATGAACAAATCCTACATCTGTACATACACATAGTGGTGGTTTAGATACGCATCTTACATCTACATGGATCTTACATCGTTTATTTGTACCTTACACCTACATTGCATTGCTTTACACACATGCGTCCTACACCTACATTAGTGTACATCTGCATGGTGGTGATTTAGAAACATGTGTTATACATCTACATAGTGGTCGTTTATATACGTACGTGTGTTATACACCTAAATTGTGGTGGTTTATATACACACATATTACACGTACATGGTATTAGTATACACCTACATGGTAGTGGTTTATATACACACATATTACACTCCAACTCGTTTTCGGATTACCACCCCACGTCCCAAATATCGTGACCGTACGTCAAGCGGTTAAGATTTGTGCCCAACTGTTGACGGACGGACCCACGGACGCACGGACGGCCGGACGGACAGACGATCGCACGGACGATCACGCGATTCTACAAGCTGCACCTGACTACGTCAGATGAGCTAAAAAGAGTATAGCAAACGGGAAACTTGTTAATGAAAAATCCAAGCTGTGGATGAAAAAAAACACCAGCATTATAGATGACAGCGATTTTTTATGTGTGCAACTGCAATAAAAAACTACTTCACACAACACCCAGCACTTACTTCCATTTTGCACAACTCGGCGCTGTGCAATCCCTGAGATATTGTAAAAACCAACATGAAAACAGAATTTGAAACTCACTTGATCGATCATCCAATTTATCCTATTAATTAGCTCGACTCTTAAATTTGACAAAGAATTAGACTTAATCAACAGAAGGAATCAGGCTGAATCATCTCTTCTGAAAACTTGAAGAGAAGTTTGACTCTCCTTCGATGTGCACATACATGTAAGCCCTGATGTGGGATTACTATGACAGTAGGGTAGATCAAGCATTGCTGTGTGCATGCGTGCGTGCATGCATGGAGAAGAGAACCATTCTTACTCTTCTGCTGTCAGTGTGAGGTTTCAATTAACAAGCAATTATTAAGTCAATTTACCATCACTATCTAAGCTTCTGCCATCGATTGACTGATGTAACATTGCCACACTGGAATCAAGGAACGTTTTATTCAGCCAACATGTTTGCTGTGTTACCCTGGTTTGGCCAAACACGATGTTAACTTGCAGATAAGCGAGAGTTTCTTTGTTTCGCACAAAAGGGAAATGTTTGCAGAATGTTGTACATAATTCTGTTAATAACCCAACAGATTGATATGTTGGCAGAATGTTGTACGTAATTCTGTTAATAACACAAACAAACACACATGCACTGACCTGTGTCATCCACGCTTTCTGCATCTAACGTCATGTAGTCGGCTTTGTTTTCATGCAGGCTGCTCATGCGTCTGATGCTCTCAGAACGAAGCTGCGTGGCATACTTCCCTCCTGATCGTAGAAAACATTACAGACAAATAATTATAAATCACAACTCACTCCTACAGCAATGCCATCAAGTAGAAATAATTATAGATGAATGATTAGACTACTTAATAATTTTTACTAATAATAATAATAATAATTTTAATAATAGTTAATGAGTTTTACTACTTGCTCCTACAGCAATGCCATGGATATATCATCAGGGGTAAAAACATACATGTATACCTAGTACCATGAACATATTTATAGACTGCGTATAACGTGAATATATCTACACTATATCACATAGTATAGTCACATAATTAGTACTCATAGTAAGTACAATAAGTCAGAAACGCTGTAACATTGCACTATATCGTGACTACGTTAAGGTACGTAGAATAAAAAGGATGAGTACGCGGTAACAAATAATAATAATAAGGTATAAGTAAGCAGTGATAAATAATAATAATAAGGTATAAATAAAACAGACATAGAATCTCTCAGGAAACCTCCACAACAAACATCAGGGCGAGTCCGTGGTAACAGACCACCGTCGTGTGACTTACTATCTGTCATGTCTTCCACCGCCTCCGTGATTGCCTCCTGGTTGCTTGACTCCTGCGTGACCTTGAGAAATACCTGCCAAACGGAAACCAGCGCATGTTTCTCACGCAAAAATTCCAACGTACGTTTACGAAATGTTCGCGCTAGCGCCATTAGCATTCCAACACGAATCGAAAAGAAAGAGTTAATGTTAAGACTAACTTTAAGACTAATATTAAGACTAATTCCGTCTCTTAAAACACGGGCGCGCGGAAGGGGGTTTCCCTCCTTGCGACTCCCACCTCCTCCAGTGTTGTGTCAGACACGCCGTAGCTGCTCAGCCCAAGGTCGCGCAAGCTGTGGTCAAGGTCGACGAACAGACGCTCGAGTAGACCGCTGCGAGCTTCGTTGCTAGGCAACACATAGGAGACCTCGGTGCCGATGTCCTCGACGATCTGCGCCGACGGGACGCGTGAGCAGATGAATGACGACAGCGCCCTCTGTGAGTAAAGCCCTGAAACGCGCGACGTTAACAATGACTGTTGGGACTGCGTACGAGAAACCTTGATGAAACATCCAAAGTGACATACTATTAATTAATTAATCAAGTAACTTATTATTATTATTATTATTATTATTATTATTATAGAAGGCATTACGTATAATATCTCACAATTATGGAGGTATGCGAATTTCTACAGCTAACACATACTCAGTAATCTATGTATAGTTTTACATGTAGTTTACCTGTAATATTTAGTGAAATTAAACTGGCATAATTATACAGTGTTTCATAGCCTGGAACCCTAGATGACAATCCACACTATTTGGTAACCAACCGAAATTCTTTTGCCATATAATTCTGTTGAAAATCCAAACTTCTTTTTTTGTTATACTTCTACTTTAAAGCTGCCAAACTAGTCGGTAACTCTATGATTAGCAATCAGCATCTATAATGCCAGTCCAACAGCTTTTACCGTGGAATAACATAGGACTAGCAGGAGGCTGGCTGGATTTAGTCTCATTTTCCTCTTCAGCTGTATCATCAGTCGCCTGAATAGATAAATACAAGAGAACGTAAGTCAACACCACTACAACACACAACACACTCTACCGGAAATATATAGCTTAGCGTAGGAAATTTTCTTGTGCCTCAATTCATTCATTGATAGACATGTTTAAACGACTAGGTGATATGATCAAACCACTGTGATTACAAACAGGGGCATATACGTGGCAGGAAGCTGATGGTCGATAGATGCGGGCATTATCTAACAAAATGATGCAACAGTGCGTGTTCCTTTCTGTTATTGTATGTATATTATATATATGTAATCACTGCCACATATTATGTAGCATTATCATGTAACATGTACCATTACTACATACCATTACCATGTATCATGCATCATGTACCATGCATCATGCCCCATTACCATGTCATGTATCATGTACCATGCATCATGTCCCATTACCATGTCATGTATCATGTACCATGCATATTATGTACCATGTGTCATGTATCATGTACCATGTATCATGTACCATGTGTCATGTATCATGTACCATGTATCATG